GTATTTGCAATGATGATCTGAAATCATGAAAGAATCATCAATCCTTTGTAGTAAGCTGTAGAGATACTTAGATATTCCATTAGTACGTTTTACAAAGATGAACACATTACCGAACATGATATACTAAAGTATGATAGTTTAAACTAGTTATACAAAGTTTATCTGATACTAGTACTTGCACATGGACAATATTTAAGTATAAATGCTTTATAATATAGCTGCATTTTTCTTTTGGTGGTACTGTGGCCTATTTGCTTATGCCTTGGATGAATTTCCTTAGTGTTGTTGCATAGATTTGAAGCTGAAGAGAAACCATGTACTCTGATAGGATAATTTTTTTCCTAACACAATATCTGAGCATTTTCTTAAACTTTTATAACTGTGGTGTCAGGCAACTTAGTTGGTCTCTGGTCTCTATTCTGGTTTCTCATTGCTGATGGCAATAGTTGGGTTCTCTGCCCTCTAAATATATTACTTTGTACACTAACTTGACCTTACCTGAAGTATTTTTTTTCCCACCTTCCAGTTTGATACTTCAAGGCTCAGAAATGTTTAAGTTGCCATCTGTAAACTCAAAATTTCATTCAGATGATGTCTGTTACCTACCCTGAATGGGCTGTCTTCTCTCTGTTCCTCCCAAACAGATGTTTACTTATTTTTAATTTTCAAACATCAGTTGTACAAAGGGAATTTCATTGTGACACAGCATAGCGTATCCTAATCACAGTCAACCCCCATCATCATCCTTTTCTTACTTAACTCCTCAGATTTCATTTTTTTGTTTTCATAGAGGCACACGAGAAACATCAATCATATTCTCTATATTCTCTTTTGCCTTCCATTCACCATCTCCTGTCCCTCTGATAGCCACTTCCAGACAGTCTGTTTATATTGTCTTTTTTTTCCTTAGTGTATTTTTAATTATGCAGATGGATTTCCTCTGTAATGTTTCACATATGCATTTATTGTATTTAAATAAGAGTAACCCTCTCTTTTACCTTCTCTTTCCTCATACCTCCCATCCTCTTTGTCCCATTGTTCAACAGCTCTCAATAAGATTCAGTATGTAATCTTAGTATATATTAATGATCTTCTTCATATTCATCCTCCACCCTCTTTCCATCTCTATCTTTCTTGTGCCTTCTGCAGAGTCTCATAGCTAGAAGCAGGTACTCTGTAAATGTCTATGAAGACAAATCTTTTAAGTTTAGGTTCTACAAATGAGTGAAAACAAGCAATATTTGATTTTTTTTTTTTGAGTTTGACTTCTCTTGTCTTACTCAACATAATGAATCTGGTTTATTTCACTTACATGATCTATTTACCTGTAAATGACATGATTTCATTTTTTTGATGTAATACTCTATATGTATATAAATTTTCTAAATTCTTTCATCAGCATCTGGGCTGTTTATACAGATATCTGCTATGTAAGATTGTGCAGATGCTTCTGTACTATCTTATATTCTCTCAGATGTATGCTTAGTAATCGTGTCAGTGATTGTTCACAGGATATTTCTATGTTTAGTTGTTTTTGAGGAGTCTATACAGCTTTCCTTAGAAGTTGCTAGTTTACATTCCCACAAATTGTATGTCAGGTTTTCTTTTTCTCTGTATCCTCACCAGTATTAGTTTGTGCTCTTCTTGATATCTATTCTGATTGGATGAAATTTCAATATCATTTTGAGTGTATTTCCTTTATTACTAGTATATATTTGTTGGCCATTAGTGTTACTTTTGAAAATAGTTTATTTGCCCACTTATTGATTGGGTTGTTGCTTTGTTGGGAGTTTAGATTTTTGAGCCCTTTCTGTATTTTCCCTATTTGAATCACTTTTCTTTCTCTTCCCTTATTTTTCTGGCTACAGTTTCAACACTACTGGGTAAGAATGGAAGGAGTATCATTGCTGACTTTAGAGGAAATTTCAGTTTTTTGCCATTTAGTTGCCTGTAGATCTGTCATTCATAGCCATTATAATGTTGAAATAACATTCCTTCTGTTCCTAATTACTGAAGAGCTTTTATTGTAAAAAGATGTTGACTCTTGTCAGAGGCTTTTGCATTAATTAAGATGATCGTGTGATTCCTCTTTGATTCTGCTTAGGAGCTATATTATGTTTGATTTATGTGTATTGAATCATTCTTACATCTCTAGAATGAATCCAACTTGTGTGGCCTTTTTAATGTGTTGTTGAATTCATCTTGCATTTTATTGAGAATTTTCATGTCTGTTCATCGAAGAGATTGGCCAGTACATATATTTGTATGTCTCTGGTATCTAGATTTGAAGTAGTGTCCAAGTTAGAGGAGTACTGCTGTTCTTTGAAGGTCTGGTAGAATTCATCAGTCTGTCAGATCAGATCCTGGGCTTTCCATTGTTGAAAGACTATCACTGCTTCAATCACATTGCTTGTTGTCATTTAAGTGAGTTATATCATTGTGATTCAATTGTAATAGGTCAGATACATCCAGAATTGTGTCCATTTCGTATAGGCTTTCCACCTTACTTGAATATAGGTCTTCAAAATATTTTATGATGATCCTCTGGAATTTCTTTTTTTATTTTTATCTCTTAATTTTGTTTAAGTCCTCACCTTCCTCCTCCTCTTGGTTGCATTGTTTAGGAATTTATCAATCTTATTTGTCTTACTAAAGCAACTTCTTGGGGTTTTTTTTTGGGGGGGGAGGGCCAGTGTATAGTTCTTAACTCTTAATTCTTTGATTTCTGCGCTTTTTTTCCTCCTAACTTGTTCTTTTAACAAATTTGCCTTGTTACTGTTTTTCTAGGAGTTTGACATGCATCATAAGTTTACTTTTGAGTTTATCTGTTTTCTTTTGTATTCACTTTGGTTTTATTTAGCTTTTTAAAAATGTTTTGAAAAATTATCTATAAATACTACAAAGGAGGTTCAATTCACCATGTCAGTTTATGAGTACAATATATCTGATGTCACCCCTTCCATAATTCTCCCTTACTTCTCCCAATCATACCCATCCTCTTAATTTTTATTTCTTTACTTTTTGCCATTCCTGGACCTTGACCTCAGGGGCTAGGCACTGTCCCTGAACTTTCTTTTGCTCAAGGCTAGCACTCTTATCAGTGAGTCATAGTGCCACTTCCAGCTTTTTCTGTTCAGGTGGTACTGAGGAATCGAACTCAGGGCTTTCATGCATGCTAGGCAAGCATTCTACCACTAAGCCACATTCCTAGCCCCTTATTTAGTTTTTTATTTGAATTGTCTTTGAATTTGTTTGCTTCTATTTTCTTTGAGTTCATTGAGGTGTTTACACATATGCTCCTTCATCTTAGTGATTATTCATACTCATTTTGAGCCTAACCTTTTGAATTTCTTCTACTTCACTGTCACTCTGATTCTTTGTTGTATGATTGTTGACTTTTTGAGGTGTGGTATTATATTTTTCATGTTTCTTATGTTCTTGCATTGAGATTTGCTCAGTTGAAGTCAGTTTGTGGCGTGGGGGTCTAGTCACCTGAAATCTTTGTGTTGGACTGTTCTCTGTGTTCTGACAGGGCTGAATATTACCTGGGTTAGTAGATTCTCACCACTGGCCTGAGGTGTAACTGAGCAATAACAAATTTATTGATTCAATATCAAACCATATTCTCACCTAAAGCAAAACACCATTGACAACATTATCTATAAAACTAAAATCATAGTCATACATGGTATGGCTAGAAAAATAATTACTTGTGTAGGAGTTAGTAAGGAAAGTAAGAAGAAGGAAGGAAAAATGAAGATGAGAAGGGTAATGGAGCATGAGGCCTGCCAGGTATATACTAGTTTATAGGGTTATAGTTAGTTGTCATGAAGAATGGTGGTATTGTCCACAGAGAGGTTGAAGAAAGGAAGGTAGTGTAAATGGTTGTAACGGATAGGAGAAAAGTGAAAAGAAAACAAAAAAGTCTCTTCTTGATGGAAAAGAATGAGTGCCTGTTCCTGGATCTGTTCTCAATTAGATGTACTCTTCCAATCTCTGCTTCCTATTGGGTGCTGGCTTGACCAGGTGCTCCCCAGGTGACATGTTTCATGGTCAGTTAACAGGAGCAGCTATGGGGTGAGGCAGGGACAGTTCCAGGGGTATCAAGTAGCAGTTGGGGATGAATGACAGGGTCTTTGTGCATAGCTGGTGGTTCAAACAACACTGCTACTCCTGCAGCCCACTTTGCCCTGCTCTGGAAGTCCAGTACCTGCCCTGGCTCTTTCCGTTTCTACATAGGCCACCTGTTCAGTGTTTCCTTTGGAAAGGAAGGGCAGGTGTGTTGCAGAAATTGTAAACCTAGCCTGTGGCTTCCTGTGTGGCTTACTAGGCTCCAGAACTATGTTTCTGTCTTAGCAAGCACAAGGGTCTGAGTTCAAATCCCAGAACCACAAAAAATGGGGAGCAGCACTGTCTCAATTAGATACTTCCCACAGTATCCAGGAACTCTACCTCCCCAATACTTCCCATAGAAAAGTGAAAACAAGTGTGAGTCCACAAAGTCTTTGTAAACCATATGCTCCATCTCCTTATTCATAATGGTAGATAATTTATATGCTCAAAAACAGGAGAAAGGGTGCTCAGTGACCCATCAATATTAACACTACTTAGCAACCAAAAGAGAAATTACTGGGGAATCTCAAACCATACTAGCTTTCCAAAGAAGCTAAACAGAGAATACATAAAATGATCCTATTTACATACTTGTAATGAGTAAATCTACCTATGGTGACAGAAATTAGAAAAGAGGAGAGAGTGAAGAAACACTTTTTAGATTATAAATTGCTCTGTATCTTGTTTTGGACATCTGGCTAGTCTGGCTACAGAGTGAGGCTCTTATCACAAAGGAAAAAATTACTTGATACCATTGGGCAGTGTTTATTATATACATGTGTTTTATTTTTAATGTAAAATTCACCCACTTTAAACTTTTTTCTTAAATAATAAGAATGTTTGGTATATATTTGGGTGATCTCAAACCTTTGTCTTTTGTATTCTAGGCTATACTCCTGGCACCCCCTACAAAGTGTCATGTTCCCCTACCAGCGGGGCTGTGCCGCCATATTCCTCCTCTCCCAACCCCTACCAGACAGCCGTGTACCCTGTAAGAAGTGCCTACCCCCAGCAGAGCCCATATGCCCAGGTATGCTTGGGCATGCCCTGCAGGAGGGAGGTATGGACAAGGTGTGGTTCCATCAGATCTATATAGCCATGGGACCCTGTGCAGTTGTCTCTCTTCTTCCCACAGCAAGGCACTTACTATACACAACCACTGTATGCAGCGCCCCCTCACGTCATCCACCACACCACAGTGGTGCAGCCTAATGGCATGCCAGCGACTGTGTACCCTGCGCCCATCCCTCCTCCTCGAGGCAATGGGGTCACCATGGGCATGGTTGCTGGGACCACCATGGCCATGTCAGCAGGTGAGTCCTTTTTTCTTGGGGTCTTGTTCCTTTTCATTTGTGAGCGCTGGAGTAAGGTGGGAGAACCATGGAAATGGTGGTTAGCTCTGACATTCAGTAGTATGGCAGGACTCCCTTCAAGAGTATGGGGTGAGGTGGGCTGGGTCCTGTGGACTGACATGAATCAAGTGTCCCAGTGCCACCACCATGGGGAGGTGGGGAGGGGGCGGCCTGTAACTGAGCACCACTCCCTGAATTAGATGGAGGTGCTGTGTTTGTTGGTGAACTTGGTAGGCCATTTGGCAGCAAGGATGAGGAATGACTAGATGGTCTCATACTCCATGGATTTGAGGAAACTCCAGCAGAGGGACTCACCCACTTCACAAGTCCCTATAACATCTTCAGTCCCATTTGCATGAGTGGGGAAGTTTGAATGTAGAAAAGCTGGCCTGTGTTAATAGAAGTAACAACTACTTGTTAAATTCTTTGGCATTCATCTACTTTATTTTTCCTGGTCTCTAGGTTAGGAGGTCTAGGAGCATAATAGGAGCTGGGGCTTGTTTTTGTCTAGGGATGAGGTCACATTTAGCTCTTTGGATAAATGTGGTTGTCCTCAGACTTTCCACATAGTGTGCATTTTTTTTGCTCGTGACTGAGTTTTAAGGAAAATAAACAAGTACATAAGGAAATGATTCTAGAGAGAAAGGTAGTGCAACAGCAATCTGTGTTGCTGAGAATCTACTTGTCCCTGTAATTTCCTGTCAGGGCAGAGAAGACAGGCACAAAATCCTGAAGGCCCTGAGGTAGCGGGGCCAACAGAAAGTGAATGACAGACGTAGGCACTTGGGTTGACACTGGGTTGAACGTGGTCCTTATTCTCATACTTGGGGTTGCTGTGTTTCTGAAGTTTGAGCAAAATGTACTCTCAATGTAGTCTGAAACATACATGGTATAGAATTGCCACTTCACATTTTCCTTTTTTAAAAAAAACCATGCTAAAGCTGGGCACTGGTGGCTCACACCTGTAATCCTAGCTACTCAGGAGGCTGAGATCTGAGGATCATGGTTCAAAGCCATCTTGTGCAGAAAAGTCCGTGAGACTTATCTCCAATAAACCACTAGAAAACTGGAAGTGGCTCTGTGGCTCAAGTGGTAGAGCACTCACCTTGAGCTGAAGAGTGCAAGGACAGCACCCAAGCCCAGAGTTCAAGCCCCATGACCAACCAAAAAACAACAACAAAACATGCTAACAACTTTTCAGTATGTAGTATGGTACTCAGTATATTCACATTGTTGTAAAATGGGTCTTTATAAAACTTCCATCCTGCAAAACTCCTTTTTCCCTTCCCCTTTAGCTCAGACAAATACTAGTCTGTGTTCTGTCTTTGAATTTGATAACTTTTAGTATTCCTGAGTAGAATCATACAGTGATTTCAATTCATCCCTGACTTTTTCATTTAGCATAATGTGCTTAAGGTTTGCCTGTATTATACAGTGTATCATAATTTCCTTCCCTTTTAAGACTAACAGTACTCACTTTTAATTTTGTAGTTTCTTGTCCATAAAAATTATTATAGATGAGGGCTGGGAAGGTGGCTCAGTGGTAGAGTGCTTGCCTTGCATGCCTGAGGCCCTGGGTTCGATTCTTCAGCACCACATAAGAAAAAAGCTGGAAGCGGCGCTGTGGCTCAAGTGGTAGAGCGCTAGCCTTGAGCTGTAGAGCTGAGGGACAGCGCCCAGGCCAGAGTTCAGGCCCCACAACCGAAAAAAAAAATTATTATAGATGCTTTCGGAAGGGGTGGTACACAGCCTTTTATAAACATTATTAGCAATATCAAATGTGCTGTGAACAGGCTATATTCTTTTAGTTTTTGGCTATTCAGGATATTCTAAGGAGTTGGTCTAACCTTACTTTTCCCATCTGTCTTCCTCTCATAAAGAGGCTGGACCTACCTGCTTGTCGCTTGTCGAGGAAGTGAGCTGTGCTGAACAAGTCTCCTATGTAGTATGAGGGCCTTCCTTGTGTGTGATATACTGTTCTTTCTTCCAGGTACTCTGCTGACTGCTCATTCCCCAACTCCTGTTGCCCCTCACCCAGTCACTGTGCCCACATACCGGGCCCCAGGAACACCCACCTACAGCTACGTGCCCCCTCAATGGTGATTACCCTGCAAATAAATGTAAGTGACCACTGGAAGCAGGCAGGGTTCTGGCAAAAATATATTTCCCTATGGAGACTGGCAAACCTTTTTTTGTTGTTGTTGGTTGTGGGGCTTGAACTCTGGGCTTGGGCGCTGTCCCTCAGCTCTTCAGCTCAAGGCAAGCGCTCTACTGCTTGAGCCACAGCGCCACTTCTGGTTTTCTAGTGGTTTATTGGAGATAGGAGTCTCAGGGACTTTCCTGCCCGGGCTGGCTTTGAACCACACTCCTCATATCTCAGCCTCCTGAGTAACTAGGATTATAGCCGTGAGCCACCGGCGCCTGGCTAACCCTACTTCTTATTCAAGCATTAGCAAGAAAAATACTCCTGACCGTTGTTTTATGTTAATGTTCTTAAAGTAGAGGAGAAAGAAAATACTATTTATTGTTTATACAGCATGGAAGACTCTTGCATCTCCTTCCTGCCTGCTTCAGGAAATAGGGCTCTGATTGTTACTGGGTGGGAGTGGTGGCGCAGGGGTCTTTGTAATGTAAGTGGGAAGGAGTACAACTGCCCTTTTGCCCCAGTAGATACCCTCCTCCTGGAGTTATCAGAGCATCCATGCCTTGAAGATCCCCACTAACTTAGGTTTGTCATTCTCCCCCAGGTGTGAGGATGGAGCTGTGCAGTCACATCATTGAGTTCCACAGCTGGTGCTGCAGGCCTTGTGCCTCCAACCAGGACTTTCTTCTTAATGCTCTCGACACTTAGCTAAATACAACGTCCCGGCCCAGCAGGTCCCAGCGCCGTTAGTCTCCAACTAACTCTGTGGGTTGGTCTTAAAGCAAATCCTGTTTTGTGGACTGCCTGGCAATTTTTTAGCTAACTGTAATGATAAAAAAACAAAAGGGAGTATTAATCTATTCTGACTCATATCTAGTTGAATGCATGTTTAAAAAATACACAAAAACAAAGCTTGCTCAATCTACCTGCAGTGACTGATGCAAAACCATCATATGCAAAACCCAAAGGTATGGAAATGTATTTTACAACTTGTATCACTAATGCACTGTTGTAATGTATGCAGTCTTAAAGTTACATGTGTTAAAGTGAATTTCTTCCTAGAGCATCTGGATACCAGAGATGACTCTTCAGCCACTTGGGGTTGATGTGGGTTGCCAGTTAGGGATGTGAACTTTTAGTTTTTAGTGACCTGTTTTGTTTGGGGTTTTGGGGGGTACTCACTGAGCCAGGAAGTTGCTGCAGAGGTGGGATGAGAGTAGGTTGGCTGCAGTGGTTTGGGAGCCACTGGTTAGCAGTTGTCCCTGTCCTTCTGTTGAGGTTTGGTGGGGTTAGGGAGCAGATACATGCTTAAAATACCATCACACAAGATGAGAGCGGAGGGAGCCGTGACAGGTTGGGGTGGGAAGTGGTCTGTGTGTCAGCACCACAATGGTCTTTGCCACCTGAGCATTTATACATGACTCTTACAGAGAATCATGCTTTGTATATTTGTTGGAAAACTATGTAGAACAATTTTTTTTTTCCTGAGAGTGAAAAAGCCACGCTTAGAAGAGTCATTGCCCTCTGCTTTAGCATAGAAAGTCATTCCCTGTTTTTATTTCCCCAAGAAATATATGAATCAGGTGAAAACACATAGGCATCACTGTTTTCATTCAACAAGGGCAAAGATTACAACTATATGTAATGAAGTATATTTCAAAGGGAACAAAATTGTATTTAAAATTCCTCATGTTTCTTAAAAGCCAAGCCATGAGTATATCTGAAAATGGTAGTACATGTGGCTGGTCTTGGGGGTGTCTATCTGGTGAAGACTTGTCTTCTCGACTGGCTACAGAAGACTTGTAAAGCTGGGATGAGAGGGAGCTTCTTTTGCTACCTTTTGTAGCTGAAAGCATTCAATGCCAAGCACATGTGGACAGCAAAAGGGTGAGAAGGCATCAGGAAGCTCTTGGCTGCCCAGTATCCATTATGGAAACGATTTTGAGTTTAAAATCAGTATATATGTATGTATATATATATATATATATATATATATATATATATATATATGGAATCAAGAGGATTTTGTTTTTGCCTAAATATGCCCTACTTGCATCAGTGGAACTGTGTCTGTGTCCTCGGTGAGGGCATGAGGATATGTTCATGTGTTCCATTTCAGGGGTCTGTGGGATAGGAGCTCATAGTTTTCCAACCCCATCCTGTGTAGAGTGCTGTGGGCTTTGGCTGGGATGCTGGCCTGTGCTTCTGTGTCTGGCAGCTGGGTCAGGGCTGTGGCGCTGCAGTGAAGGTGTCTCAGTGGTCAGCCTGGTTAGTAGGCGGAACTCTTGGCCACTGGGCCTTTGGTGACCCTATTTTTTTTATAGTAATACTTTAATTTTTTTAACATTTCATTTTATAATAAGTCTAGGGAGGTTTTTGCATGGATCAGTGTAAACAGAAAGATTTCTTTATTCCTAATACCCATTAACATAGAATGTTTACTGATAAGTACTTTAAACCATGTCATGAGCACTTAGTGTGTGTGTGTGTGCGTGTGTGTGCACGTGTGCACATGTGTGAGCGTGCGTGTGTGTGTCTGAGTGTCTGTGTGTGTATGTATAGTGGCAACTCCGTCTGTATAGTGGATGGTTTGCAAATATCAGTAGGTTTCTAGGATTCCAGGGATTCAACAGACCAGAAGGCAGTTTTCTCAGGTGAAGGACCATCCATCAGGAGAATATACTCATGATTTTAGTGTGTGCTAAAACACACACACACATATACACATACACACATATACCCTTAGAAAGTTACACAATTTCCTGTCTAAAGGAAGTTACCTAGGCTTGGCTGTAGGCCAGCTTGAGATGGGTGCACACAGTGTGTTCACAGTGCTGAGGTAAAAGTGTTTCCATATGAAGAAGAATGAGTTCCATCTCCTCCACTGTTACATCTGATTTGTAAACACTTTACCTATATTTAAAAGTCTTGCTTTTTTTCTGAAATTGAGTTGAGATACTATCAAATACTGCATATACCATTCATCTGTGTGGAAATACTGTGTGGAAATTTGAAACTTAGGGCATCAGCTCTCAAATCTGGTGATGAAAGTAGATTGTCATTTTTTAACAGCAATTCAGTTCTAGTAAAAAGGCCTAGAACTTGGATCAGTATTATTATAAAACTATAATTTGGTGTCTCAAGCATAATGTGGAACATTCCAAGAGTTTTGTGCTTTTGTTTGACATTCCTGACTTGTGAGTCCTAAAGTTGAACTAAAAGTTTAGAAATTGAGACAGGGAAGCACAGGGCCTAATTCCTGTAAACATGGATATCATTAGAGCTATCAAAAGTTTGTTCTCAGCCTTAGGTTGTGTGTTCTTTCACTGTGTCCTGTTACTGCTCTCTCCTTGCAGAATTCTAGTTTAGATGTGGTCTGGAGGTGGTTCTGTTGAGTGACCTGTGAGCTTCCCGACTCAGAAGTGAGGCCCCCTTAGGACCTTGCCAATCAGGTGACATAGACATAGGAGACTTGGACAAATTCATGTCTCTTGTGGTCCTGTTTTTAAAAAAATAAAATAAAACAAACATTGTTGCAGTTATGGCCTGCTGATTGGTGTTGTGTGAAACTTATTCTTGAGTACCCTGAGGAGGCAGTGTTTTCAGGAGGCTGAGTGTCCTGCCCTTCCCTGTGTTAGCACCTGTGCCTCATTCTGTCTGGTGGTGCTATCTGCTGAGACAGATGTGGCCCAAGAAGTAATTAAAGAATGTTTTCTGGGAGAGAAGGGAGCTCATTCTATGGGCTTTTATGATGATGCCAGTGGAAGTGATGAGAGCGTGTAGCAGCATACCAGCTATAAATACTGGGGCTGCTTCACAGAAGGAAATCGTTTCCTCACCAGGCCTTGTTGAACATTTATGAACAGTGTCACTTTGACCAATTGGGCCACCCCTCACTCAAGAGTTGACAGTTGGCTACTGCAGATTTTGTCTGCCTGTCACTTCCTGAATGGCACAGAACCTCCCACACATGCAGTGGCAGGTGGGTGGCTGCTGGTCCTTCTCTGGTGCTCTATTCTAAGGGGTCTCTGGAGTGTATGAGTATGTTTGGATCTAGGAGGGTTGAGCTTGACTCTACTGCCCCAGCGTATCCCAGGCTTGTATGTGTTTTTCTCTGAGCTGCCCACTGCCCTCGCCCACTGAAAGGCAGCTGACTGATAAGCTGTGGATTACATGCATGAGAATAGAACAGCTCTTGGTAGGAATGAATGGCAGAGTTGTTTCAGAGAATCTATCCCTTCCCATTCTCCATGAACAGAAAACTTAGGGATAACCTTACTTTAGTCCAGGGGACCAAATCAGTTGGTACAGGGAGACAGAGACAAGCAACTAGGTGTAGGGAGCCTCTGTATCTTTCAAGAGGAGGGTAGGTGTCTAAGACTAGTGTGACAAGCAACTCCCTGGACAAGGTAGCTGTGGGCCTTGGTACAAAACAGCTGTCAGGAGAACAGAATAGTCAAGCCTGGCTCCCTGCAGGGTTGCTGATATTACTCAGAGGAGAGGCCCCAAGGAGCCTTAGTGTTGTGACTGAATAGGAAATGGTTCCTTTTCCTTTTCCTTTTTTTTTTTTTAATAATTTTTAAATACTTTTTTACACTGTTCTCTTGGTACCTTTTTTAAGCTTAAGTCAGCATTGTCTTCCAGTGTTACAGGCATCCCTTGCCTCTGCATTGAACATAATGTGTCAATAACAAAGGAATGGACCATCCATCCTGAGCCAGTTCAATTAGGTGTAAATCACACAGTTTTAATTTTTTATGCAATCTGATGAGTAGATGAACTCAGATTTAAAATTCTTCAAAGCACGTTTATTGTAACAATAATTGTTATGTATTAATACTGCAGTTTTCAATAAAGATTGACTTGTGTTGCATATTCTGGTTTTCATGATTTGTTGGTGTGGCTCCTTTCCGAAGGTAGCAAGCATGGCCTGACTAAGAAGGTGCCGCGGCTTCTTGGCAGTTATGATTGCCAGAGTGTGCCAGGGCTGCTGTGTAGTGTAGCCTTAAGGGCTGTGGCTCTGGGTGGGGTGGGGTAGTGGAAGAGGCAATGGTGCGCTTCCCTTCCTGGCTTTTGTGGCTGGGCCACCCTAGGGAGACATATACAAGTCCACTTTTCAGAGGGTGCTGTGGCCTAGGAACACTGTAGACCACCTATCTCTCAAACCTACATTTGCCAAGCCCTTGGAATCAGCCCACAAAGAAAGCAATCAGTGCTTCAAGCCTTGGGGACAGAGTATGAGGGGATGGTCACTGCCCCTTCTCCTCTGCTGTGTGTACTCCAGTTTCCCTGGATCTCTGCATCATGCAGCCCTGCCACCTGAGACTGTCTCACAAGGGCAGTGGCTTGCAACCAAGCAAGCCTGTCACTCTACCACTTGTGCAATCTCTGGGTTTACTCTTACAGGCAAAAGAAGGATGAGTGGATGTATGGAAGAGAAAATGCACACACATAATAACAGAAAACAATGGCTGACTGGTAGGTTTTTGCAAATTTCTTTATGAAATTAAATGTGGTTTCTGGCTTGGAGAAGGTAAAGTACAAGAGTGACTGTCCATGCTGCTAAATCCTGTGGGCTCTGCACTGACACACAGGCCTGGGCTGTGGTGCCCGCTCCTCAGGTAGAATGCAGGTCTCAGCCTGTTCCTGGAGTAGGTGCGTCAGTCCTGGATGCTGCACCACAGAATTCAGTCCTTATGGCTTCTCACGCTCAGTAGGGTAAGGCAATCTTTCTGTGTCACTAACAATTCTCGCCATCATTAGAAAAAAACAAGATGACAAAATCCAAACAACAGGAACCAGGTAGTTCTGCAGCCAAGCCCCAGCTACAGTGGACTAGTCACAAGCCTGGACCAGAGTATGTGGCTGACTAGTTTTTTGTATTTCCCACTACACACATCACAAGTGAAAGGGTTTCCAGCAGCCAACAGTGTCTAAAAGGGCTGGGAAGCAAAAGGTCAGCTCTGGGCTAGATGTTTGGGCACAGAATCTTGGTTCCTGTCTTCTGAGGTTTAGTGGCCCTGTACCACCACCAGGGCCAGTGGCCTGAATGGACAGCAGAGGGCACATAGCCTGGCTTTTGCAGGTAGCTGATGGCCATAGAGTAGGTCTCTCCTGCCCAAAGAAAATAGGAGTGGGGATGATTAGATTTCCAGAGTCCCAGGGCAGCCAGAGCCTTCTGTGTTGTCAGCCTGGATGGTGGTTCTGTGCTGTGGCTCCCAGCCTCCTGGTTAATGGAGGCCCCGTGAAGGTCCAGAGTGCAGGAAGAGGGGCAAGTGCAGGCTGCAGGAGAGGTGCACATGCGCGTGCAGGGCTTTGCCTCTTCTAGCTGGACTTACTGCACTAGCAGTGAGGAACCAAGGAAGGTAGTGCGGACCTGTGTGCCCTGGTGTCAATGAACAACTCCCAATTACAGCCCTGTTTACTTGTACCTTGCAAAATAGGCAGAGGAAGGTCAGTTGGAGTGAGCCTGGGGAGAAAGCTGAGGGCTGTGGGCCAGCAGGTCCACAAAGTGTTGTCAGGTGACTGTTGGGCTCACTTTCGGAAGGGTGCCAGCCGGCTGATGCTGTGCCAGAAGGTAGATGGCTTCCTCCTGGGCTCTGCCAGCACCAAGGCCTGCTGCTGGGGCCGGCTGGTGGGCAGTGTGGGGTGCTTCTGGCGTGTCAGGTAGCAGGGCCTACCAACAGCTGGGCAGGGAGAGAGCAGCAGGGGTCAGATGACACGGGGCCAGAGGAGCCCATCCAGGGACTGTGCCACAGGCCCCCATGGAGGGCAGTCTTCCTGTAAGGGACTTGCTTCCTGAGCGCTGACCACACTGGAGCCCAGGCTGCTTGGAGCCACTGACCTGGGTTTGGCTATCCTTGTGAAAGGGGGCAAGCCGGACCCTTACCTAGGCAGCAGTGAAGGTACCTTTGAGAGAGTAGTCAGGGAGCCAGTTGCAGCAGCTCTTGCCTGTAATCCTAGCTATTTGGCAAGTTGAGGTCAGGAGGAAGCTCGTTCAAAACAAGCTTGTGCTAAAAAAATTCATGAATCCTGGTCTCATCCTACAAAAAGGTAGGCATGGTGCATGCTAGTTATCTCAGTTATGAAGGAAGCATTAAAAAATAAAATCACAGGCTGGCTGCTGGCTCTCACCTCCAATCCTAGCTGCTTGGGAGGCTGAGATCTGTGGATCACAGTTCAAAACCAGCTCAGGCAAGAATGTCTTTGAGACTTATCCTCTAATTAACCGCCACAAAGCCAGAAGTAGAGTTGTGGCTCAAGTGGCAGAGCCCTAGCCATGAGCACAAATGCTCAGGGACAGTGCCCAGGCCTTAAGTTCAAGTCCTAGTAACGGCATGCACGCATATACAGAATCTCAGTTCATTCTGGCCCAGGCAGAAAATGAGACTTGTCTTAAAAACAGCCAGAACCAAAAGGGTCTCCCTGAGTTTAAGTCCCAATACTGCCTCCCCTCAAAAGTAAAGCCTGGCAGAGGGGAATGAGGGGGGTCAAGAGTAAGAGCATCCGTGTACTGGTCTGAGCTTTGTCATCTGTGACCCCTTGTCACCAAACTTTGTAGTGGGTACCTAAAAGGGACTGGGGGTCTTTTCTAGGGGTGGGGGTCAGAGATGGGAACAGAATCAAGGCCAGATCCCCCCAGGAAGGTGACTGTTCCACTTACCTTTGGGCTTTCCCAGGGCCTGCTGCTTGCTGGCGTTCAGCATGGCCTGCTTCCTCTGCATTTCTGTGATGGAGAAGCCTGTAGGGAGGGCACGGATGAGACTGCAGCCTCGCCCTCCTCTCCTGCTCAAGGGTGTCTGCTCACAGTGCTTCCGTCATACCTTGAACTTATTCCTAGCCACTCAGCCTGCCTGCCTGCCTTCTCTAGAGGATGAAGATCCCTGAGCTCTTCCTCCTGATCCCTGTGCCCATCCCACATAGTATCTAGTGACCTCTTCCCTGAAGGGCAGTCTCTTTCCCAGACCCAGCATCAGTAAATATGGCCCATTCCTAAGAGAGAGGATGTGTGTACGGGGGAGATGGTGCTCACAGGTGGTGGCAGCTTCTGGAGGCCTGATGTCTATCCTGCTCACCCAAGACCTAAGCCAGCTGGAAAAGGGCTCCCCCAGGCCCCAGGGACCTCACAGACACTGTAGGCGTGAATGTGTGTGTGTGTGCCTCCGGCCCAGGCTGAACCCTGGCTGAGGACCACCACTCCTGCCAGGGCAATGAGGGCAGCGCCTTTGCTCACCAGTAAGGTCAGGAGGTTCCTGGAACTTGGACAAGCCCTGAGGCCCCTGGGAGGTACCCACTCATTGTTTCAGGGGGATTCTGGGAGCCAAGCTGGCCAGGAGGGCTGGATGAGCCTAGAGGCCTGGCAAAGCTTGGTAGGGGTTCGAACCTGTCTCCTGGTCGAGCTGCACCTGCTCCCTCTCCCGGGCAAAGGCTTTGAGCCAGCGCTGCTTCTGCTCAGGCTTCCTGGCACACAGTAGGTAGCTGTCCCCTGAGGTGCCACAGCACAGCCGGAAGGCATTCTTGACACTCACATGAAGTTCTCGATCTTTCCCATCCTCCACATCCACCACCTCCAGACTGTCCATGTCCAGCCGGCCCTTGTAATACAGCACATCCCGGCGAAGCAGGTCCTGCCAGATAGGCCTTGAGTCCCAGCTGTTCACATCCAGAACAAATCCCCTCTCCCCAAGCCACCTCCCCAGCAGATAGTGAGCACCTGGCAGCAAGACAGGGCCTGGTGCAGTCCACAACTGGGCCAAACTATGTGGAGGAGCCTTGTCTGGTGACTAGCCACTGGTCACCCACGGGCTCCCCTGTTCATTTAATGGAGAGACAGCCTCCCAAACTAAGGAAACGGCCCACACACATAGCAGAGTGTAATGAACAAGAGGGTTCAGTAGGTAGAAATCACTCTGCCACAAGCAGACTCAAGCAATAAAGGGAGGCAAAGGAGGCTGGGAGGAAGCTGGATTAGAGGAGCCCATGGCCAGCAAGGGAGAATGGAGGCTTGAGCAGGCAGGGACCAGATGAAGAGGGGAGACTGTTCTTATAGCAGTGGACTGGTCAGAGAACTATCCCACAGTTTCTGAGTTCCCGCTGCAGAGAGCCACCCACACCTCATCCTATCCCAGTGTCCAGAGCAAGGAACAGCTTGTGTTAGCTCCTTTTCTCTGGCCTGAGGCCCCAGCAGCAGCCTCTACATGAGGCCAGTCCAGCAGGGTAGAGCAAATGGTACCTTCTTACAGTAGATGAGCTGGTGGTCAAAGAGAAAGAACATTCTCTGCTGGTTCTTAGCTTGAGGCTGTGTGACACGAGTTAGCTCCCCCGAGTAGATGAGTTCTGAGCTCCTGACCAAGAGATCTTCCCCCTAGGAGACCCCGAAGAGAGTCATGAGTGAGTCTTCCCACCTTGAGTTCTACTTCCTACCCCCATGGCAGGTGGGTGGGGCCTTCCTGCTGTCTTCCAGTAGGCCAGGCCAGTCCAAGAAAGCAAAGTTCCTGAAGCCAAGGGAGATACCCAGCCTTACAGGTCTGGTATGGGACTGGAGGCAGCTCTGACCACTTGCAGAAAAGGACACCACTGCTGCTGGTGGCCTCAGGTAACATTTGAGCTCATATGGCCTGACAGAACTCCACACTGATTTTGAAAACAGCAGTAGGAAACAATAAAATATCCCATTGCTGAAATTTTATGTTGATTACAAGTTGAAATATTTTAGATATATTGAATGAAATAAAGCATTGAATCATCCATCTTCATCTTTTTTTTTATAAAATGGCTACTAGACAGTATAAAATTTATATGATCCTTTGATTAGATAGTGCTGCCCTGGAGAAAAATTAGACTTGACTGGAATTCACCTCTGCAATGAATATTACCTGAATTTTATCCATGCTTCGAATTTGCAGACCAAACTTTGCCCCCTTCCTGCTTGAAGGTGAAAACCACAATAGGAACAGTTGGCAGCCATCTAGTTTGGTATAACTGATCTGCACCCAGAGCTGGGCCTCAGAACTCATCAACCACCTTGATTATCTCCACCACTGCCTCAGATTCTAATTCAGTGCAAAGATGAGGCCTAGGAATCTACAGTTTCCTCTGTGTGTGTGTGTGTGTGTGTGTGTGTGTGTGTGTATGCGTGCACATACATATTCATGTTTGCATATGCATATATGAACCAGTGCTAGGGCTTCCACTCGGGGCCTTCTGCTCTTTCTTGGATTTTTTGCTCATGGCTGGTTTTCTACCACTGGAGCAATGCCCCCCATTTCTGGCTTTCTGCTGGTTAATTGAAGGTAACAGTCCCGGTTGGATGCCTGTAATCCTAGCTACTCAGGAGGAGATCTGAGGATTGCAGTTTGAAGCCAGCCTGTGCAGGAAGTCCATGAGACTTTTATTTCAAATAAACTACTCTGAAAAACCTAGAAATGGCACTGTGACTCAAGTGATAGAACGCTAGCTCATGGACAGCACCCAGGCCCTGAGTTTAAGCCCCAGGACCAGAAAAAAAAAAAAACAAACAAACCCAACCTAAGCCCAACAACAACACAAAAACAAAAAAGCCTCTTGGATTTATTTATCTGCCCAGCCTGGCTTTGAACTGAGATCCTCAGATCCCAGCCTACTGAGTAGCTAGGATTACAAGCATGAACTACTGGCACCAACTTAGATTTATTTCTAGGGCTGAATTCTGATAGGTCTTCAGGTAATTTTTAGACCTCACAGTTGGCACAATGCATGGCAGTGGACACTGGGAGCCCTCACGTCTCAGAGCTTCAGCAGGAGACAGGTTGGCAAGTGATAAAGCAAAGGAATATAATCAGTTGAAGCCTTGGTGTGTCTCTAGAAGGCAAAATGGAAAGGTATGTGGGGGTTTGTAAAAATCCAGAAAAACGGGCCTAAAGCCAACTGTTGGAAGTCCTAGAAATGAATGAAAACTCATATCCAGCCTGTCTTCGGCAAGGAGAAACAATCACTTTTGAAAGCTGCATGAACTACAATGTAAGTCCAGGCTTCTAGGCTGGTGGCTCCAGGGAGAAGAGTAATTTTACAATGGAAGGACAGCTAGCTCCAGGTGCCACAGGCATTACACACCCGTGCAAGAGAACCTGTTTTCCTACTACCAGTGTTTTTACAGACTCCCAGGAACATGGACACTACCTGCCTCTACTCTCCCCTAGTCTTTTGAGGAGCAAGCACAATTTCAGAGCAAGGGCTTCAAGAGCATTTCCCGGACCCTTAGGCCCCTCACCTCCCAGTCCTCTATGGAGCTCTGCCATTGAGCAATCTTGTCAATGTTTTCAAGTCTCCGTTTGCGTTCATTGATGAGTTGGGCCACGTTCTTCATAGCATGCAAGGCAGCTTCAACATCCTTGAAATCCCTGTGGCAGAGCAAAGACAGAATGGTGCTGGCCAGCCAGAGAGCAGAGGAGTTTCCTGCAGCCCAGTGTGAAGCTGCCTCCCCCGGGAGCTGTCCACCTTTACCCGTTAAATGCACAGATCTCTTCTCCACAAATTCAGGGGCAGAGTAGAGCTTAGTATGCCATTCATGTTCTCTCCCTTCACTTCAACGATAACTCATAAAGAGACCTTGCCCTATCCTGTGCTATTTATTGCTCTAGAGACTACAACAGTGCCAAGCACACTGTAAGATCTCCAACAGGTAGCAACTGGAGGTGTGCAGAGAGAGCCTCCAGTGCCTCCCAGACACACCCTCCTACCTGTGCTGGGGATGTGTGTACTTGAGCAGCTCAGCCAGTTGCAAGGGGTACTTGCAGATCTTCTGCACTGGGGTCAGTAAGAAGCCATCCAGGGAGATGTCAATCATCTTTTGCAGTAGTCGGCAGGCCTCAAAGAAGTATACATACTTGCTGAGCTTGGTGAGTCGGGAAAGCTCCACGCAGGCATTTGGGTGGTTGTTGCAGTACTCCGAGTAGATCTGGAAGTCTGCTTGCTGGGAACAGAGCTGGAGGTCAGGATAGTTGTGTCCTGTAGCCCCAGACAACTGACCAAACAACACAGGGCGGAGCCTAGGCCTGTGCTTTAGGAGTTGGGCTTTATCTACCTACTTCACTGAAGCACAGGCTGTGTAGAGTCACTCAGGAAGAACCCGTGAAACTTGTGTTCTCCCCTTCTGTTGCTACTGAGCTTTCTCAACAGTGCCTTTGGGACTCTTATCAGACTTTCTTTTTTTTTTTGGTCAGTCGTGGGGCTTGAACTCTGGACTTGGGTGCTGTCCCTGTGCTCTTCAGCTCAAGGCGAGCACTCTACTGCTTGAGCCACAGCACCACTTCCAGTTTTCTAGTGGTTTATTGGAGATAAGAGTCTCACAGACTTTCCTGCCTCGGCTAGCTTTGAACCGTGATCCTCAAATCTCAGCCTCCTGAGTAGCTAGGATTACGTGAGGCACTGACACCCGGCTCTATCAGACTTTCAAATGAAATCAATTATGCTCATCAGGAAGAGCTGTCTGTGCTGAAGGAGAGCCCTGGAAGGTAAAGAGACAGGCACCCTTTGCTCAACCCCAAAGGCTACCCTGGGAGAGGGCGAGGAGAATCCCTTCTTGTCAGGTAAGGCTGGAAGCGGTCCCCTGTAGTCCAGCTCAGTCAGTGGCTCCTGCTGAATGCCACCAGCTTTTACAGTAGATGCAGGCTGTAATTCCATGCAGATTCCAGGCTGCTCACTGTGTAAGGAACCTTGGAATCTGCTATAAACAACCAACCCCAGGGGTGTTGCCTTCACTTTATCCCCTGCAGAGGCTTGAGTCCCTTTGTTGCCTTCACTGGCTTCATTTCTCTTGGCAGAGATGCTACCAGCCCTGGTAGCTGGGCAGGAGGCCAGGGTCTGGTGCACCCAGGAGTCTGGACATTGTGGGAAGCGAGTGGTAGGTTGCTTGTGCTAGAGCAGGGAGCCAGGCTCAAGATACACTGGGGAGAGTACACTAGGGTGTCCTGGGCAGGGAGAGAGGGGCACAGAGTGCCCTGGCTTGGATGAAGGTGGGGGGGGGCTATGCTCACATGTTCCAGGAAGCAGGCCCCCAGCTCGCTGAGGTGCGGGCGCTCCCTGTTGAACCTCCGCTCCAGGGCCTTCACAAATGCCTTCTGGCAGCGGTAGATCTCCTCGATGTTCCCGAAGATGGTCTGTAGCTGCTCTTCGCTGAACATGTCTGCGCGCTTGCGACACTGCCTGATGTAGCCCTGGGGAGCAGGCTCCATCAGGGCTCTCCGGGCCCTGCCTGCACTCCCCTCCGATGCCCCCTGCCGCCTCTAGCTCCTCCCCCCACCCACCTTCCCTCTCCCTCACCCCCTACCTCACAGATATCCCGCAGGTGTTTGATGTAGTCCCGCTCTGTGCTGAGGATCTCCCTGATGACATTGGTACGCATCTGGTCCTTGCTGCTCTGCGCCTCAGCCCCACGGTCCTCTGGTTCACCATCCCCGGCCTGCGGGGCCTCATCGTCCCCCGGCTCATCCTGGTTCACCCGCAGCTGCAGCCAAAGAAAGGCAGGTCAGTGCCCCATGCCCTCAGAGACAGCCTCTGTGCATTGCACAGTGCCATGGGGACCCCAACCCTGGAGGACCCAGTGACCAAGGACCTGCCTGGAAGTTCCCTGTAGGCCACACGCACCTGCTGGGCACAGGCCCTTCCTGCCCAATGGCCACAGGGGCTGTCAGCGAAGTTCCTGCCCCATACCAGTCTCCTAGGCAGGCCCTGGATCCTCCTGCCCCCTTCTGCCCACAGACTGCCTGTGCTCAGCACTATGCTTGAGGCTGCCACAGACTACCTTCTGAGCCATAATCTGCTCACACTGGCTGTCAGAAGCTACAGCTGGGTGGTGTGGCTTACTGTCTCTAATCTGCTAACCTCAGGTCAGTTTGGGGAGCAGAGTGGACATTTTTATCCAGGGTGTCTGGGACAGGAGAAGTATCGAAATATCAGGGCTCCTGGCCCTTTGGAGACCTTTCTTGGAAACCAGAAAAAGCCTTAAGTGGCACCTGAGCCCCCTGCCTGTCATTCTCAGGTTAATGGTTTCACGTGTCCAGCTTCAGTTCCCAGATTCCCACATCCTTCTGGGCTCTGTGTGTTAGGTGGGCCACAGCAAAATGGCAGTGCATCCAAACATATCATTTCCTCAAACCCATTTCTAATTTGCTCTTCTCTTGGCCCTTGAAGGCTAAACAAGAGGGCCTGGGAGCAAGCAGGGGGGAAGGGGGCTCTGCAGGAGGAGGAAGGCCTCTGCAAGTCTTTGACACCAACCTGTCCAGCCCAAGGCAGCTGGACCTCATAGAGCAGGGGAGGGGAGGTCCATGCTTAGGGTTCCACAGCTGTTTGGGTCTTAGATTTTGAAGCAGAGCAGGGAGGCTCTTCTTGAGCCTGGGAGAAGCAGGAGCTGGAACCGTACCCGTACAAAACTGGCTGGGAACCAGCCCTCGCCTTCCGCGACACGGCCCCACCACCACTCTCTGTTGGTGGCATCCATCACTTCGATGACGTCCCCGGCTTTGAAGCCCAGCTCCTGGTCATCCATGGTGACATGGTCCCAGAGTGCCTCGGCGCACACCACACTGCCATCACTGATGAGCTGCAGAGAGAAGCACAGCAGGCCAGTCAGGGGGACCACGGCTGCACGGGGCCCCAGGTAGAGGCTGTCCCTACACTCTCTGCCCACTCACAGCAGCCCTGGGAAGAGGGGGAGCCTGACTTGCTTTTCAGAGGGTCTGACTGGGGTTTCCTCCAGGCCAGCAGCTCTTCTGGGGCAGCGCGGTGCAGATAGGTAGGGCAGAGTCCTGGCTGTCAGGGCTCAAGGATAGGCCAAAAGAGAACTTGAGAACACATGGTTCCCTCTCTTCCCAGTGACATCTTCACCCCAATGAGCCTTTTACTTTCCTTCCAACATGCCAGGCATGTGCTGCTGGCAGACCCTTCTAAGCACTGTTTAAGGGGGAAGGTAGGCTGCAGGAGGGAGAGGGCCTTATTCCCTCCATGGGCTTCCCTGTGGATATGCTGTGCCTATGAGAACAATCCACAGCCTCTGGTGTCATTCTGCCTGGGCACAGTGTGCTCTGCCCATGCTGTGGCTGGGTCAGGTTGTTGTACTTTTGAATCCCTGTAGAACAGGCCTCATGATTCCTCTGGCTCCGAGAGCAGACCCCCATGTGAGCTGAGGAGGCCCCTCCTCAGATGCCTAAGTTCCAAGACACAGAAATGAGTTTAAATTTACTCAGCTTCTTCGCTTTATTTCCTGTCTGGAGAAGCGTACTAACTCAGCAGCAGGCACCTCTGCATTGTCCTTGTGCACGGTTGCTGAGCCAGGCACATTCCACCTAGCTGACGATTCTCTGTAGTGTTCCCTCTGCTGAGCTTCCTTTCTCCTGAGTGGTATGGACCGATGCACTGTAAGAATTGCTCCCTGTCCCTTGGAGTTGTTTTTCATTGGCTGCCACCTGCTTCCCTGACCAGAGCTCTGTTTTTGCTCTATGAACCAAGGGTGGCTCCAAGGCCTTAAGGCAGGAGAGGAGGGTGGGCTGGGGGTCCTGATAGGACTAAGTGCTAGAGCTGCTCATCACAGCTGCAGGCCTGGCTAAAGTATCAGGGAAGAACACACATCTTCAAATAGGCCCTCTGCACCCACTTCTGCTCTGAGCTGCCCCCCTCCCTTGTGTACCTCCCTTGGTCGCTTTGGACACTGCCAGCACAGTGTGCATGCTGATCCTCATACCTACATGGCTACCAGGCACACCTAGCAGCCAGGCCTGCCCTGTGGCCCCAACTCAGTTCCAGTCACTGTCTAAGAGGTCTGTCTGTGCCACATGATCAGAGACGGACGGGCAGTACAGGAGCACAGAAGCCTGCTCAGGATGGGAGCAGGCAAGACCTTGATCACTGCCCAACCACTGGGTTTTTACTATTTCCTGAGGCTGAGACACCCACCCCAAACCTGATGACCCTGGGGACATCCACACCCAAGGTGCCCTCTCATGGTGCAGTGGCTGTCACCTAGCATACAGCAGGGTTATTCTTGGGGACAGCAGGCCTCCCACCTGGGCACACATTCCTGCTACAGTGATGAGCTTGCAGGTGAGCCGGGTGACACAGAGTCAGGAAGAGGCAAGAGAATCCACGAAGGCCTTGTGAGAAATCAGCCTGCTTTGGGTGCAGAGCTGACCCACCTCCCACAGACATGCGTCATGTGAGGGCTTGAAGGAGATGGCTCAGGAACAGAAGTAGTGGTTCCCCCTAGTAGTGGGTGAGCGGGAACTCGTGTAAACCCGGGGTCTGTCATCACAGTCCACAGCTCTGGGGGACTGTACCTCACTCAGCAAAGCCCAGCTTCCCAATGTGCTAGTCCCTGAAGGTTCTTGTGTTATATTTGCTGGCGAAATGTCTCTCCATGTCCCTAGGTTCACTCAGTTGAGCTCGGTACAACAACAACAAAAAACAAACAAACTGCTGGGCGCCAGTGGCTCACACCTATAATCCTACTCAGGAGCTGAGATCTAAGGATCATGGTTTGTAGCCAGCCTGGGCAGGAAAGTCAGTGAGACTCTTTAATAAACTACTTCGTAAAGGCCAGAAGTGGTGTTGTGGCTCAAGTGGTAAAGCGCCCAGGCCCTGAGTGTAAGCCCCAGGACCAGCAACAAACAACAACCCTCCTACCCATGGCTTGGTGCCCACCCCTTTTCTTCCATTCTTCAGTCCTGCAGGGAAAAGTGGATCCCACATGGGTGCTTTCCCCAGCAGCTGTGGGGAAGCTGTGGAAGGTACAGGAACAAAAAGGCAAGACTTCACAAAGACCAGGGTTCTGGGCACTATTAGAAACGAGCCTCTGGCCTATCCGAAAGCCTGAGATGGCGGAGGAGGGGTTAGTCAGTCATCTTGGTTGTTTCCAGAAAGGGGCACAGCACAGGAGCGCCAGAATAACACATAGCCTTGAACGAGTTTTCGGATCCACCAGTTCCCCGAGTAGCTACAGTCTTCTCTGTATGGGCAGATCCACGCAGGAGGCCCTCTGCGGAGTGGGCTCCTGACATCAACCCTGCCTGTGCTCTTGTCGCCAAGACAATGCGTCTGGGAGAGAGCAGGGAGGGATACATTTCCCCAGAGCGCAAGGGAGGCGATCCATCCGCATGGGAGCCCCGCTCGCTCGTGTCTGTCAAGCGCAGCTGGCCCTGAAGTGCTGATGGGTACTACTCATTTTAGGGCCAAAAATGGGAAACGCAACTGCAGCTGCTGTGTGTGGACCCAGGAGTCTCACACAGCCCTATACGAGCTCCTTTCCCCTCATCCTGCGGTCACATGCGCGCCCTCCCCGGATCGCCGGCCACCCCGGTGCCTGCATCCCCAGTGACACGGAGAAGCGCCATGTTGCCCTTCCCTCTCCAGCACGGACCACAGATGGAAAGACCCGCACGTGGGCTACCACGCCCCTCAGGCCCCGGCACGATGGCGCCCCTGGGTGCGGCGCGCAGGCCGGGAGCTGGCGGCGGGGGGCCCAGCGGGTGCCGCTCAGCCCTGCGCGGCGCGGCGCGGCGCTGACCACTCACCCTGACGCGGCGCGGCCTCCGGTTCGCTCAGCGGAAGGCCAGCAGGAAGATCAGCACGACGTTGACGAGGACCAGGAGCACCAGCACCGCGGAGACCACCACTCGCTGCGCGCCCGGGGGCAGGTTACAGCGCAGCAGGGCGCGCAGGGCGCTTCCGGGCGTGGCGGGGCCGCGTCGGGGCTGGGGGCCCTTGGCCATGACGCCCGGCTCCCCGGGGCTCCGAGAGGCCCGGAATCCCGCGGTGCGCAGGGCCGGCGCCGGCAGCCCGCAGCGCCCGGGGAGGGGCGGAGCCGTCCGCGCTCCGCGCTCGCAGACCGGGCTCCTCCCGTGCAGCCCGCCCGCGCGCGCGTGGCATCTCCAGGCCCGGATCCCGGGAACGTGCGGAGAGGAGAGCGCGGGGAGGGAATGATGGGGCCGGAGGAGGGCAGAGCGCACGTCGGGCGGGGGCCGGGTAAGGAGGAGCCCAGGGGTCTCAGCGGTCCTTGTACTGCTCTCTGCCCCCTCCTGGGGAGGGCCGCCGGACTAGCAGATGGGCCTTGTGGGGGCAGAATGCCCAGCATCTTCGCATCATCGCTCTGGGGTGGGGTGGGCTAGGAATTCTGATCCCTAAAAGCTGCCCACAGGCCCCCACCCCGCTTCCAAGGTCAGTGAGACTCTGAAACAGGCAATTTGCTCAGTCACATAGTCACTCAGAAATGCAGGTAGAGCAGAGCCAGGATTTGAACCCTGGAGGACTTGATTCCTGCGGAAGGGCTCCACATCAATACTGCGGGAGGAACATTTTGTTTACTTGGACAAGTAGTTAGTGTCTGCAAAATGAACCAGCTACGCTAAGTACCCAAGTTCCTCCAGTTCCCTGGAGTGTCCGACTTTAACTGTCCAAAATCACAGCTCACAAGCAGAAGGCCTCATCCTGTCCACAGCAGAGTGCTCGTGTGTAACTTCACATCTGAGACCAGGAGGGTAGCTGGTGGGGCTGAGGGCTGGATGGTCACGGCTCGCCCTTGGTGGCTGAACTGCACACACAGGCATCCCTGTGAGTATGTGCATGAGTGTGTGCCGGGGCCACATCTACCTTACAGATGGGACCATCTATGGAAGACCTTAGGGCAGTGTCTGCCAGGTGTGTGTGTACATGCAGGGGCATGTGTGCCCATGTGTGAAGGGGCTAGGTCTATGTGCATGTGTGTATATATGGGTGCCTGTGGACATGTGTGTGATTTAATCATATAAGAGCTTTGTGTGCCGTGTTTGTGCCTGTGTGTGTGTTACCCATGTGTGTACTTCATAACCAAAAAAGCTTGAAGGCACAGGTCAGGCCCCTGAGGGGCTCCAGTTAGACTGCCTCAGAGAAAAGGGTGTCTCCACGTTTGCCAAGGTGGCGAAACTCGGGTAGAAGTGAAGGAGGCAGGTGTCTGGGGCAGGTGAGGGCTGAAGTTCTGGTGGTGTGACTTCGGGTAACAGGAGGAGGAAGACTGTTTGGACACGCTGGTCACCAGGCAGTCTTGCAACTCTGTGCTAATTGTTGTGGCCCAGAGAATCTGGAGTTGCACTGGTCTGTTCTCAGGAAGTCTGTGAGCCTGGTGGTTGTAGAGCCCAGCAAGGCTGAGCACAGGTGTCTGAGATCCTGACAGCACCAGGCTCCTGACAAGGCAGGACCTATGTGTCCATTGCCTCAGGGATTGGGGGAGAAGAAGGCAGCCAGAAGTTGGCTGCAGGGCCTGTAGCATCTTCTCCATGTGCTGTGGAGTGCTGACGGGCAGGTCTGTCTTTGGGTGACCTTGTGTTTGTATAGGCTCAGACAGCTCTGCTTCCTACCTCATAATTGATGGTGCTCCCTTGTAGGTATAAAGTGCAACTCAGACAACACTGTCATGTCTGTCTGTCTTCTGCTTTAGGCTTCATCTCCTCTCAGCAGAAGGGTCCAGAGCAAGTTTAGGTCTCCCCTTACCATTCCCTATTTGGAGCTGCACAGATGAAGGACTAGTCCCCTACCACTCAGAGCCGCATGGGGAGTAGATGGAGACAAGAGGGAGCTCCAGCTATGGACTGATGTGTACAGGCCAGGCTGCCATCCACTCTTCCATAGCCCGGCTACCTCGGTTGATCACGGCACTAACAGCAGGGGCAAGGGTGGGTCTGGTGGAGAAGGCATATCTGTCCAGGACTCCGGGACAGGGAACTTCCTCCTTTCAGCCTCAACTATTCAGAAGCCAAAGATGGCTTCAGGCCTGTTGGCAGAGCTGACGAGGCCCATTCCAGGTGGGCTAAGCAGAGAGGGCAGACAGGCAGGCCAAGGCCCCAGTCATGAGCATTTGGGGAGGAGTCTGGGGCAGGTGATGGTGGAGGAGAGGGGCCCTCTGGTACAGTAAGGGTAACCATCACTGTGCTCTGCAGGTCTGAAGAGTCACTAGACTCATGGCACAAGTAAGAAATACAGATAGAACAAGACCCTGTGCCTTCTCAGACCACAAAAAGCAGGAAAGCCCCCCATGAACTTACATTCCCTACCCTTCCCCCCCCAACAGCCACACACACACACACACAGCCACACATACACACAGCCACACTCCTTGCTGGCAACTCCCTGCAGGCAGAATTGTGTCTTCCACACATCTGCATCTAGAGCTAGGAGTTGGTACATGGGCACGGAATTTAAAAAAAAATTAATTTTTTGTGAGTGCTGGTACTGGGGCTTAAACTCAGAGGCTGAGCATGCTCCTGAGCTTTTTTGTCCAAACTACCACTCTACCACTTGAGTCACAGCTCTACTTCCAGACATTTGGTGGTTAATGGGAGATAAGGGTCTCACAGACTTTTCTGCCTGGGCTGGCTTTGAACTGAGATAGTCAGATCTCAGTCTCTTGAGTAGCTAGGATTTTAAGAGTGACCCTCCAGCACCTGGCTCAGTACATGAATTTTATATGCTTGTGGCACACATATACATACAACATACCCACAACCTTCATGTATGCCATGTTCTTGTTCTCTCTTTGTTTCTGTGTCTGTCTATCTCTGTCTTTGTTTCTCTCTCTGTGTGCTCTATATTTGTATGACCCTTGCCCCTGAGGAAACTAAGAAGTGGTCTCCTTTGTCTTATGGCTAACATGAACAAGAAAGTATCACAACATAGAACAAGACATCCCACTATGTTGAAAATGAACAACTTGCAGAAGGGATGGAAGGGAAAAACTGGGAAAGAGTGAAAGAAGGAATGACAGTGCCCCAAAAGAAATGTACTCATTACCTGACTTAGGAAATAGTAACCCCCTGTTCATCACTTTTATAATAACAATTAAAAAAAACACAAGACATCCATATAGTCTTAGAAAATACAAGTGAATTTTAGGGTAAGCCAAATATTACTGAGTATGGATGCTTTTCTGGCACCTGTTGCTTCAATGATCGCCAAGTGTGAAATTCATGGTAACTCCCAGCAAAGCTTCTTGCTGAGTTCACATGGTTACGCTGAGTTCACAAGGGAGGGTGGGTGGAAGGCCAGGGAGCTGGCACAGTATTGGACAGTCACCTCTTACATAACTTAGAGTTTCTGGTAAGGAGGGCCTATTTAATGTCTCTACTAGCAGATCATCACTGACACTTAAATCCCCAGTACGAGCTGGGCCCAGTGAGTCCTCTGTAAACCTGTGCCCCACAATGAGAGGGGTCTGACTGGTGGCGGCCCTCCTTTGATCCAGAGAGGCGGCTCTCGCACCCGGCTTGCCCTCCCACCTGCTTCTTTCACAGACTGATTTCTTGGCCTTTCTGTATCAGGATCTACGTGTGCCGGTGTCTGGCATGAAGGTGACTTGCATGGTGGTCCACCTGTGAGAGGAGCCAGCCTCTTCCCTCGAAGCCCACTGGCTCACTGGAGAGGAACACCTAGTTGCTCACTGTCTCCCCTGGGATGCAGTGCCCTCTGGTGGTAAAGGGTACAGGAAGGCCACGTGCCCTACTTGTAAGGTAGACCCAACAACTTCCAATCCCAGGCCATTCCCTGAGTCCATTTTAAAGCAGTTCTTGCTTTTGGCTTCCCTTGGCCAAAGAGTCTTTGAATGAATCACTCTGGTCTAGCACCTAAAGCCCCCCCTCCCCAACTCCAGCACCTCTGATCTCTGCACAGGAGCAACACATGACAGTCCAAAATTGCACTGCTAAGAAAGAGATACACCACTATGAAGATAGACACTACACCAATGCAGTATATAAGGCTAGTCAAGCAATACCCAACACCCTGGGGGGGGGGGGCCCAGAGGGCTTTTCATGACTATTTCTTCACTATCTTTCTAATTATTGGAGGCCTCTTGAGAACCTGCCCCATACCGGGCAGTGTTCCTCATTTCAGATGGCTTCAGCAGTGTCATGGCCACCAACATGCCAGCTAAGCTACATGGCTACGTGCTGAGAGCTCCATATACCCCTGTACTCATGCCAGGCTCTGATGCGTGAACTCTCACTCCTGAAGCTGAGCCCAAGGCAAAGTGCAACCATTGTACGTGATTTCAGAAACGGACCCCTCGCTCACATCTGCATTGGAGGAAAGATCTACAGTCTCCACTAGCAGTCTACTGTCTCCACGAGTGCAGTAGCCCTGTTTCTAACAAAGCAGAGGCTTTCCAGTGTCCCATGGCCAGGGGATTGAGGAGTTACTATGGCACCTGCTTATGCTGAACATTTGGCTAGCAACCGTTGTGCTCTACCACCCCCTCCAAACTCAAAGAGCTGAGAAAACAAGAGAGGATGGTTAGTGGGTACAGAGCTGCTGCTGGACAGCAGGAGTCACTTCTAATGCTTTATACCACAGCAGGGTAACCACCATGGATGTCAATTAAGAGCAGTTCAAAGTAGCTAGCAGAGAGGTCTTTGAATGTTCTCAACACAAAGAAATGGCAAATGTCTGAAGTGATGGGCATGCCAAGTACCTGCCATCTGATCTCTACACAGCATACACATTTACTGAAATGTCACACACTGTAAATGTGCCCTATAAATACACACAATCATGCGTCAACTGAAAAGTATAAAAATACGCTAAAAATTCTCTCTCAAAAATTCTTGCAAAAGGAGAATTTGGGATTGGAACCAGTTCTGCCCAGATGAGATTTATCACTCATTTCTTTTGCTTAGATAGGAAATAGCAGAAAACAGTCACTGACACACAGTTGTCATAGCAACAGCAGTGCTTTGGGCTGTGGTTTCTGCAGGAGGGCCGTCCACAGTCCCTCACTTGCCCTTCCTCTGTCCCAGCGGGTTGTTGGAAGGCCTGAGTTGAAGCCTTGCCCTGCCTCTCTACCAGGATAGCTGTGCAGTGGTAGGGGGCTGGGGGTGGGGGAGGGTGGCTCTGCCCTGTCAGATGGCCCAGCACCCTGTATGACCCCAATGACCCCAGGGAGCTCAGGGTCAGTCTTCTATCAGACACAATCTGCTTTCAACACCTTGTTGTAGAATGGTGCCTCCTGCTGAAACTCTATCTGATCCTGCCACACAAGGGCCTGGACCACCTCTGTACCGCAGGGCTGTGTGAGACTACTGAGTCACCCTGAGCCTCAGTTCCCCTGTGCCCCTCCCTCCCTCTGCTGCCTGGCCTCGACTTACCTCGTTGATGGCCAGCTGCTCACCACCTCCACCAGGGTGACTGTAGTGGTGTCCAGAGCCACGCAGGTCCTCATACAGCTCTTCCTCACTGCCTGCCTCCTCAGTTCGAATGGCTGTGTCCAGGGCTCCATCGGGCATCCCTGAAAAAAGACACAACAGCTAGAAGCGGGGTTGGGTGTGAAATGGTAGAAGGGAAACACAGTTGATTTTAGGGCAAATGCTCCTTGTGTGGAAAAACAGAGAGGGTTCTGGAAATGGTTTCTCAAACCATCCTTGCTAACTCAGCCACCTGTCGCAGCAATGAGTCCTCTAGCACTCAGCTGCTGCTGCAGCCCAGCAGACATGGTGTCAGGATGCAGGGCCCCAAACCCTCCAACTGGATTCATTTAAAAACCATTTACCGGTGTGTCAATTAGAGAAAGCCTTTAAAAAGTTTAACATTTTTAAAACTGTTTTTATTGTGAAAATACTGTACAAAGGAGTTACAGTTACATGAGCAAGGTAGAGTACATTTCTTATCCAGCAGTGTTGGCTCCTCCTTTGTTTTCCCCCTACCATCCCTTCCCTCGCATCTCCTCAGCTATCCGGCCCCCTCGCCCCCCTAAATTATGAAGTTCTTTTTTCGACATAGTGTCTTGTAAAAATGTCCCCCTGTATCATGGGTTCTACATCCACATCCACTGATCTTGGATTGAAAATATTGAAAGCAAACTGTTGGTATTGGCCACATATAGGCCCCTCCTTGAAATCTCCCAAATGATTCACTATAACAACTTTACCTCATATCTGTTGTATTAGGCATGATACATAGCATTCTAGAGGTGATTTAAAATTTATTGGAGGATAGAGGGTGTGTCACGGGTAAGCACAGGGTCTTGAGTTTCATCCCTGTCACCAAAAACAGATGAATAAAGAAGTATATAGCAGACTGTATAGGTGAAATGCACAATGATAGCGCTTTCTATGAGACTTGAATGAACATTTAATGGTTCTGGAAACAATCATGTACACCAAGGAATAACTATATATGTGTTTATGTGTATATTCACACAAAATACACAACACACACATGCGAGTATAGCTTGACATTTAAAAGGACGAGCCCTGCTGGCCCAGTTAAGAAAAACAGCCCAAGCTTAGAGTTTTGCTTCCTGTCTACATACCTCCAGCTCCACCCATTCTTCTCTACTTTAACAATACACAGCAAGGTAACCTCTCTGTCACTCATCCCTGTGTGTGTCTTCGTTTTAGCATGTGTCTTCTGAGTCTTGCCTGGTTTGGATCTTATGAAAACGGAGCCATCCCAGGACTATTGCTTTGGGAAAGGCCCTTCTTCCTGAGCTGCCTGTGCGGCTGTGGAAGGCTCAGTTTCATGGACTTGTGGTTATTCCACTCAGAGCCTCTGGGTGGCGCAGCTACAAGGCAGCCATTCCCTGCTGTTGATGACACTTGTTTCCTCAGTGCCCAGCCAGGAGTTCCTTCAGGACAGTGCCTGAAGGAGTCTTCACATATGGTTCTCCTAACCTCTCCATTTCACCCATGAACATATGCTGTGTGTTGCTCATGGAATGTGGATCTTTGGTGCGTCAAAACCCATCATATCAGCTTAGAATTTTGCCCAATTTGGGAGAAAACATTCCCCCTGGTGTAAATTCACCCTCCAGCCTGCAGACTTGCAAGGGTGGCATCATTAGGTTTGGAATGGACCAAGTGGCTTCCCAAAGCTATTCTTCTCATGAAGCCTCCCAGAGATGATAGGAGTGTCCCCATGGCTCCACATCATAGACAACATATGGAATCAGCATGATCAGACATAGATTGTGAGGATGATGGGTATAAAAATGGTATCTTGCTGTGGGTATAATTTTTATTGATAATTCTTAATGAGTTGAACATCTCATCTATGTTTATGAGTCATGTACATTTTCTTTAATGTGAAATATCTATGAGTTTTAACCATTTTTCTATTGAGTTACTTATCTGTAGCATATTATTGATGTAAAATTGAATTTGAAGGTGCTTATGTATACACACACACACACACACACACACACACACACATTTTCCCCTGTTCTGGTTGGTCTGTCATTGATACACATCACCACTATCTTCTGCCAATTTGTGGCTTATCTTGTCCTGATCTTTAAGGTGACATTTGATAAATGATAGTTCTTCATTTTAGTACAAATTTGTCCTATATGGTTTACATATTGTCTGTTTGGGAGTTTTCTCCTACCTTAAAGACAAATTTATTCCTTACATTATATCTTAATAAATTTTGATTTGACATATAAGTATTTAATTCACCTGCAAATGATGTGTGTAGTGTAAGGTAGGAATCCAACTTTATCTTTTCCACACATGGATAACAAGATCTCACATAGTATTGTTTATGGAATCCATGGTGCTTTTCCATGGATCTGTCATGTCTTCTCTAACCTTAAATCAGTTTGCACATAGATTAATTTGTGTCTGGTTCTTGTGGAGGCAGAATACTGTACTTGCAAGGCAAAGTCATCTTTTTTTTTTTTTTCCCCTGTTGTGGGGCTTGAACTCTGGGCCTGGGTGCTGTCCCTGAGCTCTTCAGCTCAAGGCAAGTGCTCTACCACTTGAGGCACTTCTGGTTTTCTGGTGGTTTATTGGAGATAAGGGGCTCATGGCTGCGCAGGCTGGCTTTGAATCATGATCTCAGATCTCAGCTTCCTGAGTAGCTAGGTTTAAAGGTGTGAGCCACTGGTGCCTGGCAAGGAGAAATCATCTTATCCTCAAAGCCTGGGACTATGTTCCCTGGCAAGGGAACTTGTTGCAGATGAAACTAAGGCTGGAAACAGTTGGCCTTGAAACGCAGATTGTCCAAGATTACCTGGCATATTTGGACCTGACATAGGTGACAATGATCAGGTATTCGTTCCTATGGATACCAGGCTCCTGGCGGGGAAGCTGCCTCCATCTTGCCTTGAAAGTGGCTTGAACAAACATCTCTCATGCATCTACACCCTTGGTGCATTGTATTTCTGGCTGTCTCCAGCCAGACTGTGAACTCTTGGAGGCAGTAGCCATGTTTTATTTATTGATGCCCATATTCAGTGTTAAGTGATGGAGGGCGACCATGGTCAAAACATGAATGTGTGTGAGAATGGAAAAATAAAGCTTGTTGGCACTGCTTTAGGAATGGGGAGGGCAGAGAGGAGAGGTGTATCAAGGTACATCGTGTGCATATACAGGTATCTCACAATGAAATCATGTTTTACCACTAACTGATATTAATAAAATGTAACAAACTGCAAAATAAAAATAAAAACAAAGTAAATGAACAAACAGATGGAAGAATGGTGTCTAGACATGAATGACCACACAAAATGGAGAGAACAGATATTTCCATGAACAGATGGGAGGTTTATCCACACAGCAGCTTCATACACACAGCTGCACACAGACAGAAAGCCCAGGCAAAAGGGTGTGTGTGTCTGGGAGTCCTCTGTCTCTGGCCCAGAAGTTGTAATGAAGGCCGGCTTTCTAGTAGGAGCCAGAGGCCGTGATCCCAAGATTGTTCTCAGGCAACACTCCCCAGGGACACTCATATTTTCAATTGTATTTATGTTATCAACTTGTTTTTATTATGGAATGCTTCAAATGTGTACACAATGAGAAAGATATAAAAAAAAACACACATAGTATCATCTGGCCTCAACAATGCTTGACATTTGGCCAGTTTTGTTTAATCATCTAATTCCTCTCCCTACTAGAATTTTGGGGGATGGGAGTTATGAGTCCTGGGGCTTGAATTCAGGGCCTGAGCACAGTCCTTAAGCCTTTTTTGTCCAAGGCTAGCTCTCTACCATGTGAGCCACAGCTCCACTTTTACCTTTTGATGTTACTTATTTATTTATTTTTGGCAGTGGTTAATTGGAGCTAAGAGTCTCCTGGACTTTCCTGCCTGTGCTGGCTGTGAGCCTTGATCCTCTAATTTCAGCCTCATGAGTAGCTAGGATTACAGGCATGAGTCATGGCATCTGGCCCACTAGATGATTTTTAAGGTAAATTCAAGAGATGTTATAATCTCACATATAGACACCATATGGGATTAGTCATAAGGACTATCTCTTTCTTTTTTTAAAAAATACAACCTCAAGGAACATCTAAAATAAAATATGATCCATCAAAGACTGTCAAAGTGTCATTCCTTCTCCTTTAGGGCATTAGAAACCTCTTTTACTTGAGGTGTTAGGGGAGATGAGGTCAAGGGGAAGGAGACAAATGGAGAGAGGAAGGGTGAGAAAATGCAGTCAATTCAGTTTATGTATGGAAAATGTAAGTAAAAAAATAGAGGGCATTGGTGGGTTAGGAGACGTGCGGGGAGAATGATGCAAGGGGCAGTATTGATCAAGATGCATCATACTCATAAACAAACATGCTGAACCCTCTGTAAACTACTTGCAGGTAATACAGACATCAATCAACAGAAATGAGAGCAAGAAACAAAACTGTAGTTGAGTTAAAAACCCCTCTGTACAACTCCATAAAGATAATAATAAAAAAGAAACAAAAACAATTATTAGGCTTTAGGGTATTATATTTACAGTATTTTCCTCCAATAGTATATTGTATGTGATTCTAGCCAGGGACCTATCATTGGTAGAATGTGTGTATATAGTTTTTTTTTGTTTAGTTTTTAAATCTTGCTATTTAGTTTAAGCTGGCCTCAAACCTGTAGCCCCTAGCCTCACACCTCAGCCTCTCGAGTGTTGGCATTACAGGTATCACTACACCCAGCTCTCTCTATAGTTCTATGCCATTTTATTACCCGTTTAGGTAGCCACTAGGGAGATCTTCATGTAAGCTTGTTTTTTTTGGTTGGCTTTTTCATTGCAGTTCTTGAGATACATCTAAGTTGTTGTGCACATTATATTTTACTCCTTTTTTTTTACTGCTGAATAATATTCTGTGTTAAATAAATGAGCTTCATAGCTTGTTTAATCATTCACCTGTTTATGGCATTGTGGGTCACTTACAGTCCCTGGGTGTTACAGCTGCCCCCTAAACCTTCCTGAGCAGAGTTCTGCGTGAAATGAGTTTTCATTTCTATGGATAAATGCTCACAGAGTAGATTACATAGTAGATGAATATTTAGTTTTTTTAA